AACTGATGTACCCTCTGGGAGGATATGGATCCTGAGGGAGGCCTTGCAGGTGTGAAGACAGAGAGTATGTGGGAAATCTCTGTACCTTCTGCTCAGTGTTGTTGTGAACTTAAACTGCTCTGAAAAATGAAGTCTATTTTTAAAAAATAAGGTAAAACTTTTTAAGCAACAACAACAAAAAGCTAAGAAAATTCCTTACCAGAAAACCTGCACTATTAAAAAAAAAAAAAATTCTCCAGTCAGAAGAAAATTAATGCCAGATGGAAATTTGGCTCTGTGGGATGGAATAAAGGGAGCAGCTAAGATTCTGTCTCAAAGGGAGGATTGTCAGCTTCTTAAAAAATAAGATACATGCTCTCTATAAGAAACCCAATTGAGGTGTCAAATGGAAAGGCAAAGATAGATTAAAAATAAGACTGGAAACAGATATACTAAGGAAACATTGATCTAAAGAAAACAGAATTGGCCTTGTTGGTTAATTGCCTATAAATCAGAGTATATTTTAGGAGTATGACCAGAGATAAGAAAAGGTATTTTTCCCAGTTATAAAGTGGTTAATTCACCAAGAACACATATTAATGCTAAATTAGAATGCTCTTGGTAACAAAGTCCCAAAAGTCTTAAAGGAAAACTGATAGAAATGAGAGCAGAAACCAATACATAAGCAATTACAATTAGGTATTGCCACACTTCACTTGTAATGAAAAGAAAAAGCAGACAAAACATCAGGAATAATACAGAAGACATGAGCAACAATATCATCCAGTGTGACCTAATTGAAATTTATAGGACACTCTACCCAATAATCACAGAATCCATTAAAATGTTACGCAGTATAGCTCCTACTGGGCTATAAAACAAGTCTCAAAAACTGAAAACAAGGGGTGCCTGGGTGGCTCAGTCGTTAAGCATCTGCCTTCGGCTCAGGTCATGATCTCAGGGTCCTGGGATCGAGCCCCGCATTGGGCTCCCTGCTCAGCGGGAAGCCTGCTTCTCCCTCTCCCACTCCCCCTGCTTGTGTTCCCTCTCTCGCTGTATCTCTCTGTCAAATAGATAAATAAAATCTTTAAAAAAAAAAAAAAACTGAAAACAATTTAACATTATTCAGATATACACTGTGTCTGTCCACAGTGGAATTTACGAAGATATGAATTACAGAAAGATATCTGGAAAAATCCCCAAATATGTGGAAATTAATCAACATGCTTCTAATATAAGTATAAGAAGAAATCACATGAGAAGGTAGTAAATATTTTAAACTGATCAAAAATGAAAACAGCATACCAAAATTTGTGGGAATGCAGCTTCAGCAGTGCTTAGAGAGAAATTTATAACATCAAATGCTTTTAAGATAGATAGGGGTAAAGCTCACAAATCAACAATGTAGATTTCTACCCTAAGGAACTAGAACAAAGGGAGGTAAACCCAAAGTAGAAAGGATAAAAGTGAAAAAAAGGAAAATGGACACATAGTCGTCTTTGAGAGGATCATAACATGGTTAGAGCTTTAATTAGGTTCATTAAAGGGGAAAAAGAAAAAAAAAAGAAATCACAAGATGCTCAGATATACACACTCCCTTTTGGCAGGCAGGAAAATGAGAACATTTATACATCTTGGGGTGATTTAGACAGAGTCTGCACAAGGTGACTATAATTCACACCCTCATTATCTCTTAGAAGGTCAGGCCATGCCCCTCCCCCTTTTTTTCTCTTAAGTTTATATGCTACCAAAAGCAACTACACATTCTAAGCAAATCAGCATCAAAATTCCAACTGCCATTTGTACACTTCTTCTTTGGAAAATGTCTATTCAAGTCCTTTGTCCATTTTTCAAATCAGATTGTATGTTGTTTTACTGTTGAGTTGTATGTTTTCCCTGTATATTTTGGATATCAACCCCTTCTCAGATATATGGTTTGTAAACATTTTCTCACAATCTGTAGGTTGCCTTTTCATTTTGTTGTTTCTTTGCCTCTGTGTGGTCAACAGACACGTGAAAAGATGCTCAGCAGCACTCATCATTAGGAAATGCAAATCAAAACCACAATGAGATATCACCTCACACCTGATAGGATGGCTAGCATAAAAAAACAAAACAGATGTTGGTAAGAGTGTAGAGAAAAAGGAACTCTGGTACACTATTAATAGGAATGTAAATTGATATGGCCACTATGAAAAACAGTAAGCGGGTTCCTCCAGAAAAAGAAATACCAGGTGATTTAGCAATCCCACTTCTGAGTATATACTAAAGGAAACAAAACCAAAATCTTGAAGAGCTATCTGCATTCCCATGCGCACTGCAGCATTACTCACAATAGCCAAGATAGGGAAACGACCTACGTGTCCGTCAGTGGACGGATAGATAAAGAATTGTGGATGGATAGATAAAAGAATTGTGCTATACGCACAATGGAATACTATTCAGCCATTAGAAGGAAGGAAGTCCTGTCATTTACAACAACACGGACAGCACTGAGGGCATTATGCTAAGTGGAATAAGACAGACACAGAGGAAAGGAAAAAGAACTACATGTCACTGATTCGTGGAATCTACAAGAGTCAACTACTAAAAGCAGAGTCGGATGGTGGTTACCAGGGGCGGGTTGCTGAGGGAAATGGGGAGACGTTGGTCAAAGGGTACAGAGGGGTAGTTAGGTAAAAGGAGTAAGTAGCGATCTCGTGTCCAGCGAATGACTGTAGTTAGTAATACGGTATTGAACCCAGGAAATTTGCTAGGAGAGTAGATTTCAGGTGCTCTCACCACACACTCGAGGGATGGTAACTATGTGGGGAGATAGGCTAATTAGCTTAACTGCAGTAATCACGTCACTATGTATACATATCAAATCATTTTGTATACCTTAAATAGATACAATTTTTATTTTATTTTTTAAAGATCTTATTTGTTTGAGAGAGCATGCTAGAGAGAGAAGGAGTGAGAGTGTGCAAGCACGAGCAGGGGGGAGAGGAAGAGGGAGCGGGAGGAGCAGATTCCTTAGCTGTGTGTAACACCCAGTGCTCATCACACAACAGGCTTCTTAACCAAGGCCGTTTTCCATGATAAGCTACTTACATATTAGGTTCTAGCTAGACAATTCCCACACCTCCAACTGCATCTTTTTCTCCCATCTCAGCCCCAAAGCTTCATCTACTGAATTTGCTGGAAAACAAAATGATAAAAATAGCCACCTGCTGGCTGTTTCTGATTCTGATTCTGTTTCAATGGTGGAGACTGACTCAGCAGAGCTTCGGGGAGATTTTCTCTCTCTGAGCGGAGCTGGCCTGCCATGGAGCCCTCACCAAACCCCGTCCCAGCTGTGGATCAGAGCCTTGACCGGCTGCTTCTGCAACAGTAAGGACCCCCTCCGACCTCAGCAGCACCAGTCTCTGTCCAAAAACTGTACCCAAATAATTATAGACTCAGGTCTTACTGACACGAACGCAGCCTTGGGGAGGGAAGCCACTGCAGGCTTACTCAAGGGGACAATGACACAGGTCGTCTTTCTGACACAGTGCTCGGAATTCTGACGCTCTTTTGCCTTTTTTATCTTATTTTTAGGTTTCACTAAAAATACAGGAGATGCTATTATTTGCTTTAAGAATCGTTTACATGTGGCTGTGCTCATGTGCCATTAAAAAATGAAACAGTAGTTTAAAATCAGGACTCGAGCCTAAAATTAGCCACACAAAGGATCCAAAGCTGCACTGCTTAGTGGAGAAAAAAAAAATTACAAAAACTCAACATTTCACTTCATGTTTCTTTTTTCATAGAAATGCCTACAGTTCAGATGTTAAATTTCCTTCCCTTGTAGGGGCCCTGGGCTCACCATTACAAAAAGGACCTGTTTATTTTAGACTTGTGGTTTGGATTTATTTGGAAAAGGTGCAGCCTTGGGCAGAGGTGGAGGGCATGCTGTGTCCTGTGATTTCACATCTCCAAGAAGATCCCTCCCCCACAACAAAGCATTTCCCCGGTAGAAGTGACAAGGAAAAAAACTACACTACTGAAGCTTTATTTTTACGATCGGAGGTTTAATTATTAATTCATCACATACCCCCAAAAGGCTGCTCTAAGAAAAAACAAATTGCTGTCACACAAAACATTATGTTGCCTTCAACACCTTCAAATGTCACCTGGGATCTGGACATGACTGATCAGACTCCAGGAATAACCTGAAGTCACAAAGGCACATTCCTAGAATCCTCATTTGCATAGAAAGTGTCATAGACTCCAAGAAGGTGACAACCCAGTTACTTTGGCCCAACAGTCTCTTTCTCTGAAGAGGAGAAACAAGATGTCACCCTAACTCATCATCTCTATAGTAGTTAGTGGTGAATTTAAGAGGCTATTCACATGAAATTAATAGGATATGAAAATTCGGGTGTCGTGGGGTCCTTTACCTGTTGAAGGTAACCTACTTTTCCTCCCTTCTCTCGGCTCCAAAAGCTAACCTGTCCTGTCCAAACTCCCAAGAGAACCCATAGAGATTCTTGGTCTGACCAAGTCCTGGTTCACGGCCAGGTCTGAATATGTCCCAGACATACTGAATTGAAAACCATTTCGGCCTCATTCTGCCTTCTGTCACTTGGGGAAGAGAACAGAAAATTGGGAGCCTAAAAGAACCACAATGGGAACAGATTACACCCAGGCTATGTGTCCTAGGATTGCTACAGACCCAGCCTAGCTTTCTGCCACCCAGATCCACTGCCAGAAAGAATCCTTTTGTGGATATGCTTTCTACATCCCACATGGAAGCAGGATAGCAATTTCTGGGGCGTATGACCCTATGCCTCTTTGCATCTGGCTCAGGGGACGTGTTATATGTTCTAAGAGCAAGACCTGAGAGCTAGAAGGAAAGATGCTGCCTTTTCATCATCATGTGATTTTGCTAGAATTGCAAACACCACTTCTGCCAGTAACCATGTTCCCTTAATCTTTACAAAAATTGAAAGAAAATCACCTTGCTCTTCATCCTTGGCTGGTCCCTGAGTTTGTCAACCATGAGGATCCATTGTCTTTTCTTCATATTGCCAGTTTTATTCTCGTTGCCCATGCCAGGTAACACGGACCCAAGAATGAAGAGGCTTGAAATAACTTGAGGGCAGATGGAAATTTCTCACTAATTTCCTCCAGGCTAAATAGATTATTTGAACCATTCATTCAAACTAAACACTCTCCCTTTACCATGAAAGGTGTAGAAGACCTCAAGGGAGTTCTCAGAGTTTTGTTTGTTCTCAACCCAGCCTAACAGACTGGGTTGAGACTTATTTCATTGCAAGACCGAAGGGCCTATGCTTAAAGCCTGAGGACCGTGCCTTTCTAAATAGAAATAGAACTCATTTTATCCCAAGAATAGAAATCCAGGCTATCTTTTATATCTTTTTAGAATAAGACAGTGGGATTTTCGGCCACCTGGAGAAACTCACAGTAGGACTAGGGCTCCCATCATACATTTTGGAAACTTTACCATGTGTGTCCCCATGTAGTCTCTCCCATGGGAAATCCTCTGGAATATATTGTTATCCGTCACATCTTTTTAAGCATGGGGGAGCTTTAGCATCACTTGGTTGCTCCCTCTTCCTTTACTCTGGGCTGACATTTACAGTCATCAAAGTAAAAAAAAGAGCAGGGGGGAACTGAAAAAGGTAAAGAAAAGGAGGGAAGGAAGAAGGAAGGGAGGAAGGAGAAAGAACAAATATGAAAAAACAGCAGAAATATGAAATATTGTAAATCTCTTGTTTGTACAACTTTGCTATGTTCATGTGATAGCACTTAGATGACCAAATGTTTATAAATCAATAATTATAATTTCATTGTATCTCTGCTTCTCACCTAAGCTCAAAGGTTCAACGAACCAGATGATTTGGGGGAAAAAAAAGGCAAACAAATGGCCTCCTGCTTGCTTTTTCTGTGTTTGGTAACTACTGACTTTCAGTGGTCTCTAGTTTACTTTCTTTAGAGTGGACACACATTTGCCCAAAACCCTCAACAAGCTTCCACCTGAACACATGCAGTGGTCCAAGTCACTCTGCCACAAATCAGAATGTCCAGCAATCTGGTTCCTCAAGAAAGAATATAGCAGAGCCAGCCCCTTCGCCAGAAAATTATCTACAAGAAGTCACACCCATGTCAAAATCATTGTGGCCATAGAGCCCTGTTCTTGGGAAAGAAGCTCTTTCCCCAAGGATTTTTTTTAAAAGATTTATTTATTTATTTTAGAGAGAGAAGAGTGCACTAGCTGGGGAGGGCTAGAGGAGGAGGGAGAGGGGAAGCAGACTCCCTGCTGAGAGGGAAGCCCTACAAGGGGCTCAATCTCAGCACCCCGAGATCATGAACTGAGCCAAAACCAAGAGTCAGATGCTTAACTGACAGAGCCACCCAGGCACCCCTTCAAGGATTTATGAAGGGATGATGACTTGTGCTTGGAGTCTTCCTGAAACGATGTGCAAATTTTTATCCTCTCCTTTTCAGGTCTCTCTGGAAGGGTTCTGCTTCCTTTTTCTTGTCTCGGGAGCAGGGGCTTCTGTTTTCCGTTCAGATGCCTTCATAACTGGGAAGAGATTGACAGGTGTTTCTTCCCCACACAAAAGTGCTGCAGAAGACAGAAGCAGAAATAAAGAAAGCCCACTGCCGAGACTATGGTGGAGAGAGAGAAGCTGTTCCCCTAAGATATGTTTATAAAATGTAAACCCAACTAAATCACTGTTCAGAATCAGGGAACCGATTTCCTGTAATTCTGGTTGTGTGGTGTTCCAGAGAGTTTTATGAACATAGATTAAGATTAGACTCTAATATTTATTTCCTCACTTGTTATATGGAAAAATAATTGCTCTATAATGGGTCAAGAGGGAAAAAATGCTGATTTTTAGCAATTTTACTCATTCCTGGGTAACAGGTGAATGATTGACTTTTACTGAGAAAATTGCTCTGTTGTTTAAGCAAACCAATAGACATTTTGGTTTTGAAAGCAAAGCTTTTGGAAATATACATAATATGGAGGTAAAGGAAAATAAGTGCTAAATGGATCTGTGTTTTCGAAAGTAAAAGTTAAGTTTTTCATGAGGAGACTGTTGAGACACCACCAGGGACTCAGATCCACGAGGGGTTTAGAAGAAGAAAGACCCTTTTCTCTACCTTCCTAGGTTCTTAACTGGGACCCTGGAAATTAAACTGATAAAAGAGAGATTGATGTGAGAAAAATACAATTTATTAATATGTGCAGTGCACATACATGTGGGAGAAACCCAGCGGTGAGTAACTTTGAGGGGAGATTAGAATTTGGGGCTAACAGAGCATCACAACGAAGAGCAATAAATGCAGAGAAGTTACAAGACAAAGGAAAAGGAGTTTGGGCTTTTAGGGCAACAAACTGTGGGAAGGCAACTAGATGGGGAGACTAATGGGGGACAAGAGTTATATTAGCAAGGTTTGTTATATAGATTCCTCTCCCTCTCCTACTGTCTCTGGGCTGGTAAAAGTCTAGAGTCCTCAGTGATGAAGAGTCTAGGCTTGCTTTTGGGCAAATGGTAGGGGAGAGGTTTTTTTGTTTTGTTTGTTTTGTTTTTTGCACCTGCTATTTCTCATTTGCCTTCAGCTCAAAATAATCTGTATGTCTAAGTGGCATATTTGGGGTGGCGTATGTGATGCCCTATGGGGGGTAACAGAAGAAGGGGTGCCAGAGGGAGAGTCTGAAGAAGGAGGTGGCAGTAAATGGCTGTCATTGTCTATTGCTAACTTGTTTTCTGTTTTGTGCAGTGACTCACCACCACCCCCCCCCCGCCCTTCCATTGTTTCCAATATCCACAAAACCCTGTCCCATACAATGGCCTTCGGGGTGTGGGATCTCAGCAAAGGAACAAGGGACTGTATCACACTGAGTGTGAGAAGCAGGAGGAAGCTGCCTCAGGAACACGGAGGCAGGACCCAGAGGCGGCGGAAGATGAAGGCAGCTGCGGTTTGGGTATGATGTCAGGCGAGCACAAGCGCACCTGCAAATCCTAAGAAATATTAGAAAGGGATTTACCTACCTGCACGTATGAAGGATGGAAGACAGAGCTTCAGGTGTGTGGTTCGGATATAGACAGAAAGGCTGATCCCAGGAGGCTGGCTGATTTGGTTTCAGGCCAGTTATACGGACTTACTGGGGTAGTGTTTGGAAAGAGCTAAGCGGAGTTCTGGGCACTGAGAAAGGGATCAATAAAGTGTAGCTGTCGTATTACTATCATTATCATCACAATGATGACTTGGGTCAGATAAAGCAGTAAAAAGATGAATGACTGATTTAAAATCTTTAAAGCTCCCTTTCCTCATCTTCTAAGTGGATAAAACTATAAATAGCCTATAGTGTTGTCGCAAGTATAGAGACAAAAGGAAAAACATACATTCGTTTTAAAGACCACGGCCAACTCTTTCTTCTCGAGTCTGCTCAGCTACCTCTTACAGAATTGACCGTTGATGAAGAAAATCCTCCTTGGGATCTATGGGGAAGGATGACTTAGGCATTGCCCATCTCATGTCTGTAGAGCAGAGTGTTTAAGGGAGGGAAGAAGTAAGACGGAGCACTGTCCGTCCTGTTCCCTCCAGAGGCCACAGCCCACATCATCCAAGGCCACAGCCCACAGCCCCGGGGAGGCGGGGAGGGGTGGGGAGGAAGAGGAGGGGTGAGGCCGCAGGGTTCCAGCAGCCAGGCGGGGCGCGTTCTTGAGCCACCCTGTCATCTTTATTCCAGGAGGTCAAACCCAACTCCAGATTCTTGCCAGGGCAGCAGAGCTGGTTTTGAATGATTTGGGAAAGTCAGTTAACCCCTTTGGATTTCATTTTAAAAACGGAGTCGTTTTCTGGCACACGTGCCTCTGCTCGGCTTCTGCGTGTGGGAGATTGTCTTTTCCAGACACGCTCTTCCGGAGCCATGCGGGTCTCCCACCAGAAGTGCAGTCTGCGTTCCCCTCCCCTGGGACCCCAGCAGGCCTCTGTGACCGCGGGGCTGCCGAGGTCACAAAGCCACACCCGGCTGTCCCTTTCCCAGGACACGAGCCGTGGCAGCCCGGAGGTCCTCTGAAATTGCGGCCCTAGAGACCCCGTGGAGAAACAGATGCTGTTCCAGCCCCTGCGAGGAGCCTTCAGCCCAGGTGCCAGGCGTGCGCGTGAGCCCGGAGATGGTTCCTGCCCCAGCCGCCTGCCAACCCGTGAGCATCTCTGAGCCCCAGACACCCAGCTGATCCCAATTTATCTTTAGAACCCCATGAGTGATAATAATAAAGTAAGTTTTAAAAGAGCTACATTTGGGGCTGATTTGTTTTGTAGAAATAGATAAGGGGAGCTCCTCTTCCTTCCCCCTTCACACACCCACCTCCCAACCATGTAATGCATCGAATGTGACATTCTTCCAACTCCTTGCTGAGATGTCTCAATGTGGCCTCAGAACCTTTCTCAACACAGCACTCCTGAAAGATTCGGTCATTATGGCCAAACGACCAAGCTCTTTGATTCTCCTGAACTGGAAGTCCTTTAATGTATCTTCCAGCTGTGACATTCTATGAGTCTGTCACCTCCCAAGCAAAGGTAGGAATTCACAAACTACGGGGAACTAGAACCCAACAGTGTTAATAAACACAAATAGAAAACGGCCATCATAAACTCATTCCTTCGCAAATACTAAGAGGCAACATTGGGCCAGGCACTCCAATAGGCAACAAGAATGGAGAAGAAATGGCTGTTTCCCAAGAGACGTCTAATCTTGAGATTAGCACTATATTGCTTTGCATCTAAGCCTGCACTGCCTGTTACCCTAGACGCTAGCTGGAGGCAGCTATTTGGATATAAATTTTAGTTAATTCACATCTGCTCCAGTCACACCTGCTCAAGTGCTCAATGGCCCCATGTGGCCAATGGCTGCCATGCTGGGCATCGGAGATGGAGATGTCATCACAAAGTCCTGTGGGACAGCTCTGGTCCTATGGGTCCCATTGTGATTCTCACCCAGTGAGACGAAATGGTGAGGCAGAGCTACATGATGTAAAGGACATGGAAACTCAGCACTGTTTTTGAGAAAGGCCGGCATTGTTGCCTTCAATGCTGATGCTTACTCAGCATTTATAAATGATCATCTCACTTTCCCTATTTGGAGAGAAGCTTCCTTGAATAAATGGTTCGGATTCTCAGTGCCAAGTCACTCCTCTGTTTCCTATGGCGTTTTGTTGTTTTTAAGGTATTTAGGTCTCAAACTACAAAGTCTTATTTTTCTACTTAAAAATTATATGTTGTGAGCATACAAGGTGTTAACACCAGAGATCCAAAACCTGGATTTATTTAATGACACAGACAAAATAATGGAAGATTGCCACCGTTGTTGAAAAGATTGTACACAGTTTTGTATTTATTCACACAAAATCCCGCAGTGCCTCGGCCACCGTCCCCTCCCTCCGAGTGTCCCTGTGTCACCTGCCCCTCAAGACTCATGTGAAAGGGAGTGAAACCACACCCTCAGGATCCTACTCGTCTGAGGGGCCACGTTAAGCTCTTCCTCCCCCCCACAAGAATTCCTTTGCAATAACGTGAAAGGGATCTTACAGATCATACTTTCAACATTAATCTTCTTAAAACCCTTCAGTAGCTTCCCTTAGCCCAGGCTCTTAAAGCAAAACTTGAGTGTTTTCTATGTTTCCTGACCTTCAAGCTTTTCCCTGGCTTCCAAAATCCTTATTCTACTTCTTCTAGTTCAAATTTTCCATTTTTGCTCCTGGTTCTGAATTCCTGTTCATTAACTAACAGCCCCAAGCTTGTCCTCCTTTTCACCTCCTTGGCGCTGTTTGTTATCTTGATGTAACACCTCGGACGACTCATGTCCCTTTATTCTTTAGTTTTAGCCTGTTTTATGATCGATTAGCCTTCATCTGATTTTACATGTGATTTGGTTCTCCTGTTTACTGGACTTTTATCATCTTCTTTACTGGGATTTTAATTTTTTCTAAACTTTCAAGTTTTACCCTATGAAATCTATTAATGTTTTATTGTCATAACATTCCTACGTGTCTTATTATGACTCTCACACGGGAGGAACACCTTTCTGATTACAGTAGCAAGAAGAGGGTGGCTTTTCTATGGGAATCAGGAACTAATGGACTTGTGCTCTGGTCTAAGACCAACCTTTCCACTTGGGTCCTGCTTCTTCTTTCTCTTGCTTTCTCGTGAACAATGCTCTCCCCATTGCCCCCTCCACTGAATCCATAAAGACTAAACACACACACACACACACACTCTCTTTGACACTACATCACTGACCAGCTCTTAATTTTTGCCTTTGCTTAGTTTCTCAGCAAAACCGTTTGGAAGGAGCGTCTAGACAGTCCCCACTTCCTCTTCTCCTTCTCTGGGGGCTTGATACCACTCAGATCTGGCTCATTCCCCTCCTCCCACCAAAATGACTCCTGTCAGGAAGGGATCACAATGCATCCTGCGTGACCTCCCCCAACCCTCCCTCTGCCCATTGGTGATCTGACCCCTAATTATGTGGCAATGGGTAGCTGCTCCCAGCTGCTGAAAGGACCAGGCAGCTGACAGCCTGTGAACGGTGGAGGAACCAACTGCAAGGTAGATTTTCAGGAGAGAGCCATCAGTGGTTGAAGAAGGAATAGGAATATCTGCATGATATTTAGGGAATTGATACAAAGGATGGTTTTCAGTGTACAAGTATTGGAGATAGGGCAAACCCTTTCAGCCTATCTTTTCTTCTTCTATTATTATTGCAATTATTAGTATTATTATAAAAGTAATGTTCCGGGGACCAAGGAAGTAAAACCCTCACAGGGTCTGGTGTAGAATTAAGTGTGACTTATTTAAACAGATTACTACAAACACTTATTCAATTTTTAGGTCAATATCGCTAAACTGAAATATATCTCTACTTAGGGAAAGGTTCAAATGCAGATCACAAGATTCAAAAGCAGAACCATTTTATCACTAAGTTGTTTCTGGACAAACACAAAATGTCAGAAACAGATTTAGTTCTTTCAGATGGGAGAGAGGTGGGGCAGTGGAAGCTGCTTTGATGGGGACGGGAGTGGAGGAACGTGCTCAGCGGAGACGTTCTAGGATAAGGCAAGCTAATGGGTCCTCACCAGACCCTCAAGTTATACCTGGGCCAAAATATTAAAGAAGTCATTTACTGATACTCCAACCTTTCTCAAAAAGAATTTGACATGATCTTAGTGTGATGAGGGTTAGAGATGGTGGATCAACTTGTACCACCAAGAATGGGAAGCAAGGAACCCCTCTCGGGTCTCCTCTAAGATTAATAATTGTCTGTGATAATGCTATCTATACTAGCACAGGATTGTGCATGGGGTTTGGTTAGAAGCAAAAGTGTGTATCACCTTAGTATAAAATCAGAAGAGCTTACTTATTAAGTTGATGTCGTTACTTCCAAATGTACGGAGGGAGTGCTATCTTTTCCAAGGTTCATCCTCCCATAGCCTTTGGGCTGAGAGAGGAAAATGGGCAAAGGACGAGTAGCACAGATAAGCCAAGGCCCTGAACAGTCGCCATGACCTAGGAGCCCCTTGTGGCCAGCTGATGTGCTCTTGGTCATTCCAGAACAGTGATGAGAGAGCACTGTAGGAGGACCATCAGCTTTGAGGCTTTTCCTGACCTTCAGCAAAGAAATGTGTGCTTATTAACAAAGACATTTTCTTAGAGAGAGGGTAACAATACCTCAGATGGCCTGAGACAGCCCCCAGTTTATATGCCTGTTTTTCCAGCATAATTTAGTAATAAGTCCCTTGCATTTTACAAAGTGTCCCAGTTTGGATGATGAATTATTTGGTCAACTTGCTCAGGGAGCACCAGCCTGATCTGTGCCACATTTTCTTTGTTGATAGAAGAGGGTAATTTAGAAAACCTTTAATTGGAACCCCTCGCTCATGCTCTCCCCCTCCTCCCTCCCTCCCTCCCTCTCCCCCTCTGCCCTCCCTCTCTCTCTCACACACACAAGTACACAGCCTCTCGCACACACACACTTATGTATCCTACTGTAGCTACATTCCTTTATCTGGCAAACGCCATCAAGCTTTCTTCAGCAGGAAAGTCTGTAAAATAAGTTCGAAGGGTACAAATCCAGGCTCCATCACTAGATGCACAACCTGCATTTGTTTTGTTTGCTTAAGGAAGATATCTATCTCACACGGCAGTTGTATGAACTAAGATATCATTTCTAAGATTCCTAGCACGTAATAGGTATTCCAGAAAAATTGTTCCCATTCTATTACTGGACTGAAGGTCAAAAGAGGTTAAATATTATTCTATTAAATTATGCAAACTTATTAAGCAATAGTTGCATTTAATAAATGAAATCCAAGGGGGAATTGTGTGTATGGACCTACAATTCCAGGTTCTTTTTCAAGATTGTCTATCTTCCGTGCCAAAAGTGGCCAAAGATTCACTACAAGCTTCTAGTTCCATGGGCTCAACAAAAGCACAATAGCCAAATTCGAGTTTTTAAAGTGCAGTGTTTTTCTGAGACATTGCAGATGTTGTTGGAAGAAACTAACGTCTTGTATGATTTGTGGAACCCTAAAACATCCCTCCTCACCCTGTAGGTTGAAACCCCTGACAGTGATCCTAGTTAAAACACCACTCGGCGCAAAGAGGTATTGGTTAGCCACTGACTTCTCCTAAGGTCCTTTTACCATGATGGGGCGAGGAGAATGGTACTCTATCCATCATCAAGTGTACAGAAAGAGAAACTGGAGCTTGAAATGTTATTTCAAGGTCACTCAGCTGATGAGTGGTGGAGCAAAGACTTTGAACCGGCGTCTATCTGACCCCAAAGCTCTCTAAATATTAAGTGAAACTCCTTTTGTCTCTATTCCCCGAAAGATCACTGCTTACTTCTGAGTTTGGATGATTTCTATGAGGTCCGCTCTCAGTAGCCATCTATCTTTTGACTCCCTGACCTTTGTGACCAGTGTTAGATAAGCAGAGAAGTCTAGTTCCCTGTGTCTTCTTCTCATCTGTCTGTCTGTCTGTCTGTCCTGCCTCCCTCCCTCCTTTATTTCCTTCCCCCATCTTGTTATTCATGCATCCACGTTTTCATTCATCCATACAAGCACACATTCATTTAAACAAATATTTGGCTCCCCGCCCTATGCCAGGGCACTGATCCAGGTGCTGAGAATGGGAGGTAATACAACAGGACTTGTTCCTTTAGAAATTCACAGCATGGTGAAAAAGAGACGTAGAAACAATACGAAGCAAAGCTGGGAAGGGGAGAGGGGAGAGACGGAGAGGAATAGTTCAATGGTTTACCTTGTATACTTCACTGCTACCTAACTCCTTTCCCACAAGGATGCTCTGATGCAATATCTGTATTAACACTTTGGCCCCTAAAGTCTCACCTGGTTAGATCTATGCAAGAGCTTGGCATTGTAAAAGCTTGCCTAGAATGAATCAACTCTGTCTTAAATGGGTAGCAGAGAAAAGAAATTATTGGGAGTAGAAAAGCAGAGATCAGTTCCATTTACAAAATTCCTTCTCCCTTTTTAACTTCTAAAAAGGGGACTTCTCTTGGTATTCCTAAAGGAGAAGCTGTCAGGTGGAGAGACGCGCCATAAAAGTGAATGGCTGGATAGATGATTTGCTAAAAGAATTCCGTGTTTTAGTGATTTTTTTCTCAAAAAAAAAAAAAAGGCACCAAGCCTCAGAGTCATAAGCAGAAGTGAAAATCAACTAGAAAGTGCTGACTTACTGTAAAGGTCTTCCTTTGTGACAGGAGGAAAGTTGGATCTGTAACTACGTGTCCATAGATGAAACATTCTCCAGTCACACCCAGGCCCTCGAGGAACAAACATCTTGACTGGGAATAGAAGCTTTTCCTCTCTAGCTGAGTTTTTTACTCTTTCTCCAGATCACCCACCCCCATTGATGCACACTGAAGAAAGAGCCACCTCGGGCTTTGGGAGTTCCTCCTGTAATCCCAAGAATTGATTTCCCATCATGAGGCTACTGTTCCTTCTGTTTCTCTTCCTTGTGTGTCTTGTCCAGATGACATCAGGTAAGCCACGCCTCCTCCTGGTAGGATGCTATGACGGATGGCCGTGGAGAGGAATAGAGCCACATTGACTCATGATCCAACGATGCCCTGGAGTGTACAACAACTGAGTGATATCACAGCTGAAAGGAGAGCATGCACTACATGCTCCATTTTACAAATAAGGAGAAGGGAAGCTTAAGAAAATTTAAAAGATTTTCCTAAGATTGCTCTTAAGTAGTTGGTAGTAAACCCATAACTAGTAATGGTGATAGATAACACTTACAGGGGCTTGACCGCTCACAAATTATTTTCATGTGAATAACAACAACACTAATAATAATAGCAGAGATATTGGCCACTCACTCTTCACCAAACATCACAATAAAAACTTTTAATGTCCTGTCCCACACGTACATCATAACACTATTTATGGGTAAGTATTCCCTGTCTCGCAAATGAGACTGGGAAATGAAGTAACTTGTTCAAAGTCACTCGGGTTGTACGTAGTGGGGCATTTGACTCAAGCTTAAGTGGGTTTGTTGCCAGATGATGTTTTTATTAAATACTCAACAATCCCAGAGAATAAATTTACTTACCGAATTATGCATAAACGTCAAATACTTTTTGGTAGGAGTACGTCCCATGCAATATTTGGAATCACTTGTACTAAAAGAGTATGTTATTTTTCTGAAATTCACATTCAAGTGGATCTCCTACATTTTACCCGGCAACCCTACGCATGTGTCAGCATGTGCCAGGTTATGCTGTAGTCTCAACCTCGGCATCTTGAAAGAGTCATAGTTTAATTCTTGCTTCAACGATACAAACCTATCATGGCTGTTACTGCAGTTGCCCGGACCTGGCTGACGGAACCTCTGCCATGAGTGTGGCTGGTTGCTGCGTCAAAGAGAAGAGCGCTGAGGAATCCCACATTGTCAGTTATGGGCTCCAGCCCGGAAAGGACACAACACTCCTGATTAAAATTTATGAACTGAGCAAGTCTTATGGCTCTACCCAATCATACAAAAGATAAATCCTACTTTGTGTCAAGAACATAGGGGGCCAGACCTATTTGGTGAACAGCCTAACGGACATAGACAGTTGGCTATAGATAGAGACACAGATCTGAATATACATGAATATAGATTTATATTTATGTCAATGAGATCAATTGTAAACATACATGAACACAATGTATTTGCATATATTCATTCATATTTATAAGTGTATGTATTACATATAAAATTTATGATTACATATATATATATATTTTACCTTGTCTTCATATGAAAAATTAGGAGATTCTGTGGCTCTCAGAGGAAAACTACGGTCCTGGCAGGAACCAGAAACCAGGTCTCCTAATTCCTGGCAGAGTATGCTTTCTATCACAACATGGTGCTTTTAAAAACCATAACCTCTGCTGGAAACTTCTTTTTTATTTTTTTTTATTATGTTATAGTAGTCACCATACCATACATCATTATGTAGTTTTTGGTGTAGTGTTCCATGACTCATTGTTTGTGTATAACACCCAGTGCTCCATTCAGTACATGCCCTCTTTAATACCCATCACCAGGCTAACCCATCCCCCACCCCCCTCCCCTCTAGAACCCTCAGTTTGTTTCTCAGAGTCCATCGTCTCTCATGGTTCGTCTCCCCCTCTGAATTCCCCCCTTTCCTCCCCTAATGTCCTCCGTGCTATTCCTTATGTTCCACATATGAATGTTGGCGAGGATGTGGAGAAAGGGGAACCCTCCTACACTGTTGGTGGGAATGCAAGCTGGTGCAACCACTCTGGAAAACAGTATGGAGGTTCCTCAAACAGTTGAAAATAGAGCTACCCTACGACCCAGCAATTGCACTACTGGGTATTTAGCCCAAAGATACAGACGTAGTGAAAAGAAGGGGCACCTGCACCCCAGTGTTCATAGCAGCAGTGTCCACAATAGCCAGACTGTGGAAGGAGTCAAAAACTCTTCTTATTCATAGTTTCCTTGTGGCTGCTTGTCATTCTCCTTCTTGCTCTCCTAATTTGAGGCATCGTTCAGGTTCTCACTACTCTCAAGTTGCATTCTGAATTTCTCTAGTCAGGTGACTTGATCACATACCATGTTCTTTCAGCTTACCTCACAGGAGCCCAAGAAGACCAATGCTTGCTATGTGCCATGTTGGTGGCATTGAAAATGTCACAGTGTACAAAACAGCTCTGATTGCATGGGAGATGGTGGGGGGATGGTACTCAGGAGCGAGAATGCCCACTTAGTGTCCAGTGCTCATTGTCTAACTTGGGCAACGTCCTTCTAAGATTTTGCCCTTTTGAAAAAGAGGAAGGCATGTTGGGAAGCTTTTATGAAGAACATGCAGAGTATGTCCCTAATCTTGTAGCTCAGCCAAGTCACTTGCTTTCTCCGATCTAAAGTTCCTTCATTTGAAAAAGAAAGACACTACAGGGCACAGGTCAGTAAACTTTTTTGGTAAAGGACCAGCTAATATTTTAGGCTTTCTGGGCCACAGGGTCTGTCATGACCTTCGTGAGAAGCAACCACAGACAATATGTCAATGAACGAGGGTGAATGTCTTCCTATAAAACTATATATGGACACTAGAATGTGAATTCATATAATTTTCACATATCGCCAAATATTTTTCTTCTTCTGAAGTTATTTCTACAATTTAAAAAAAAAATAAAAACGATTCTAAGCTGATGGGTCACACCAGAACAGGTAGATGGCCGGTTTTGTCCATACAAACGGTTAAACACGCTTTATGGTTTTATATTTTTTGTCACCTCTCCTTCCTTTATAGGGCATGAGAAAAGGGGGCGATTCCTCGAATGTGAAAAAATGGGTGGTGTCTGCAAGCACCAAAAAACCCACGGATGCTCCATCCTGCCTGCAGAATGTAGAAGTCGGAACAAACATTGCTGTCGCCTCTAGCTTCCACCCCCGGGAACTCTTTGGGGCAGCATGGCTGCCTCACCCCTGCTGACCTCTGCTGAATAAAAACATCACCACTCACGTGTGTCCTGCATTGGGTCTTTCGGGGTGCACAGTGGAGGGGAGGGGCGTGTGGGACTGAAGTTCTGAGCTTGGTACCCACCACTAATTCCCCGACTGACTTTGGACAAGGCTTGTCCTTTTCTATGTCGCTGCTTCTCTACCTGTAACTCTTCAAATGGTTCTCCAAGCCCCCTGTAATCTGCTCATATACATCTATCAATTGATGGATTGAGGATTAGAGCTTGAGGGGTGTGTGTGTGTGTGTGTATGTGTGTGTGTGCATGCACGCACATGCATGCTCGTGCATACGTGTGTGTATTGACAATATGTGGGAAAAGTCACTGAGATTTTGTTCTCATTTTCATACCCCTTAATGACTGTTGGCTATCAAGCAATAGCTCCCTGTTGATTATTGAAGAGCCAGGGAAATAAATTGATCAGAAGGGCCTAAAGGTGCAGAAAGCTCAAAGCTGGTACCCAGGCATCAGGCCATAGAATCAGAACTCAGAGATTACAGAAATCAACCCACTGTTTCACAGAGAATCAAGACTTAGCAAGGCAGTGATTATTTTCCTCTCTCCAAAGATGCCTTTCCAAATAGCGGATTCCATTAGAAACATTTTCTTAGAACCCAAGGAATGGTTTTCCGCAGAGATAAGACTTGGACTGCGTAGCGGAAGCCTGCTGATTGGAAGGGGAAATGCCATCTTCAGCAGGAGGTTATTCTCATTTTGAAACAGAATCCGATTTGTCATCTCTTCTCTTAGTGACTTTCTTTTGGTAACAAATCAAACTCTTGGACAATGCTGCTGGGGATGCGAAGTTGTAAGGCTACTTTGGAAGCTCATTTAGTGGTTTCTTTTTTTTTAAGATTTTATTTATTTATTTGTCAGAGAGAGAGAGCAAAAGCAGGGGAAGTGGCAGAGGCAGAGGGAGAAGCAGGCTCCCAACTGAGCAGGGAGCCCGACACAGAGTTCGATCCCAGGAACCTGAGATCATGACCTGAGCCGAAGGCAGCTGCTTAATCGACTGAGCCACCCAGACATCCCATTTTGCAGTTTCTTATAAAGTTGAACGTATGCTTGTCATATCACTCATTAATCCCACTCTTGGGTATTTACTCAGGGGAAATGGAAACTTACATTCCCATTAAAAACCTGTATGTAAACGCTCATAGCAGCTTAATTTATGTTTGCCAAAAATAGTTAACAACACAGATGTCCTTCAACTAGTGAATTAACTGTGGCACATCGGATAATGGAATCCTAGGCAACGATAAGAAGGAACAACTGATTGATTCCAGTAACATGAATGGATCTCAAGGGCCTTCTGCTGAGTTAAAGAAGCCAGCTATAAAGACTACAGATTATTTAATTCCATCTATATAGCACTCGCGAAAAGAAAACTGTCGGGTTAGAAGCCAGGTCAGTGTTGGCCACAGGTTAGGGGTCATGAGAGGGGATGACAATAAGGACCAGTAGAGGGAATTGGAGGTGAGGGACTGTCCCGTATAGATGAATGGTGGTGAATACTGAACTCTGCATTTGCAAATCCTTTAGAATGCTACACCACAAAGTTTAATTTTTACTATATATATAAATTAAAAAAATATTAGCTCGATGTGGGCAGAAAAATGAAATGCTGACTACAACAAATGACTCTTAACAGTATTGCAGATTAATCCCATGACCACACTAAATGCAGCAGGGAAGAAAGAACTGACCTAACTAACTTTGAGGAACTGTTTTGACCTGATAATCCAAGACTAAAGATGAAAAGTCCTTACACAAGAACTGGACTCTGGTTGTTAGATCTGTTTCTCACAGCTGTTTGGATTAGCAATTCCAAAACTACTTGTATATATAAGAGTTGAACAAAGGAGGAAATGCACTGTAAGTAAGAGCCAGTTTTGTCACTGGTGGAGGAAAAAAAAGGTTATAAATTAAAAAAGAGGGAGATGAGAAGGACCACCGTGGTGCTGGATTGAAATTGAAGACACTGAGGAGGAACATGGGTTTTTAAAATACATACACAGAGAGATACAAAAATATATACAGGTGTGTATATAAGTGAATTAATATCCATACATGTTTCCTAAATGTAGTCAGAGAGAAATGAGAATCTGTGCCGTCTCAGCAGCAATGAGCATGCAGAGTACTCAGAACTCTGTTTCTTTTTTCAAATGTCTTTTTTTTTTTTTTAAGTAGCCTCCACACCCAACGTGGGGCTTGAACTCACGACCCTGAGATCTAAGGTCGCATGCTCTACCAACTAAGCCAGCCAGGTACCTCTTGGATCTCTGTTTCCAAATACCATTTTCTGTAGATGGAACCAAGGATCCTCGAGGAATTAACTCACTCCAGGAATGGGGCTGAGAAAATGCAAAATGAAGCTGGAGTATCTTATAGTGCCATAAAATAACAAAACGCTCAGAAAATGGGGCACATTGAGAGGACCCAAGAGAGATCTGGAAGAGCTCTCAATGGCCAACTGGAAACAACTTCACCAAAAAAATAAAGAGCTGAGATGCCCTTCAACAGATGAATGGATAAAGAAGATGTGGTCCATATATGCAATGGAATATTACTCAGCCATCAGAAAGGATGAATACCCAACTTTTAAACACCAACATGGATGGGACTGGAGGAGATTATGCTAAGTGAAATAAGTCAAGCAGAGAAAGTCAATTATCATATGATTTCAGTTATTTGTGGAACATAAGGAATAGCATGGAGGACATTAGGAGAAGGAAGGGAAAAATGAAGTGGGGGGAAATTGGAGGGAGAGATGAACCATGAGAGACTATGGACTCTGAGAAACAAACAGGGTTTTAGAGGGGAGGGGAGTGGGGGGATGGGCTAGCCTGGTGATGGGTATTAAAGAGGGCACGTTCTGCGTGTAGCACTGGGTGTTATACTAAAACAATGGATCGTGGATCACCACATCAAAAACTAATGATGTAATGTATGGTGATTAACATAACAATAAAAAATTAAAAAAAAACTAATGATGTATTGTATGGTGACTAACATAACATAATAAAATTTAAAAAATTAAAAAAAAATCAAGTGTTGAATTACAACCCAAACATAAATTGCCAAGGAACCATAAGGGTGTAAGTCAATCCCTCTTCCCCACCTCCATTTAAAATTTTTTGTTGTTTCCCTAAAGCTTCAAAGATAAAGTAAAATTTCTTAAGCATCTGAAGTCCTGCTTCTATTGACCTTACCTTCTCTACTTTCATTTCATCACATTCTGGTTCTCGAACTACCCCCTACTGTGAGATGGGCATGTGTGTGTGATAGTGACCTTCACAATGAAACACACCCCACCTCCCCTTCAACTTCCCCTCACTAATTCTTACCCACTTTTTTTTAAAGATTCGGCTCATATACGGCATTCACTGAGAAGACATCTTTGAACCACCCAACGTGGATATGATTTCCACGTGTGTGAGTTTTCTTAGCAGAACATACCTTGAACCCATGCTTCCCGCCCTCAGTACACCACTACAGTTCCTAGCACAGAGTAGGTGCTTGAGAGGTACCAACAAAATAAATGAATCACTGAATGAAGAAAATGGTATCATGAGGCCTCAGCCTTCCAATTTAATTCAGGGTAGGTTCATTAAGCGTGTCTTCTTCAGTTTACTTAATTCAGGGTAGATTCATTAAACACGAATTCTTCCATTCACTTATGCATCCTGATGCAACAGAAGCTCCTTCCGGGGCATATCCCCGGCATGCGAATCATGCAGTTTCTTTTCCTCCTCAGGCACACGCTTGTATGTGAGTCACAGAAATGATACACTTCACCGTGCCTATAACCTGTAGAAAGAGCAAAAATGGTTTATTTTTGGAAGAAAGACTCAAGGTCCCCATACAGGGGAAGAAACAACCAGGAACCCCCAACCGTCATTACTCAAGAATGTACACTGTCCCATGCTCCTCCTCCTCCCTGCCTGGTCGCTCCTGCTGGCTTGTTCAACAGGAAGACCCTGCCAGTCTTTAAGAGCTCGTTAAGAACAGAAATTATGCTGTTAATTGGAGGCTGAAATCAAAGACTTCAAATACTCCTCCGGGGTTGATATGCCGCAGAGTGGCAAGTGTTCACCCCGGAGACTGATTATGGGATTGTCAATGTCCTTTGGAAGCAATACATTAAAACTTTGGTTTTTATCTTCCTGGGAGAGGATTCCACTGAGAATAAGATGATACTACAGCTCCAGTCTGGGGAAGGAAGACCTACATATATACTGGGTCAAATACAAAAGTGTACTCACACAGTGTGCCCCGAAGTGTTTAAGGAATGTCACCAGCTCTCTGAAGTTCACCCCTAATTCCCAGGCTTAGAATCCCTGCCTTCAGGGTTTATCAGCTATGTTTTAAAAATAGGATTAAAGATCTAAAATTCAAGTCCCTAAAAGGAAAGACCCAGAATAACCAGGGGCACTGGCTGAGTTAAGAAAGGTTTCCAAAAGAGGGGAAAAAATCCTACCTGACTCAAAGCCAGGCCTGAAGAAGGAAGACTTCTTTTCCTGCCTCTTAGAAGGTGGAGGAAAGAAAGCCTGCACTCAGCCCGGAGAAAGAAGGGCCTCCGTGCTCCCTATTGCCCAGCCTGCCCACCATGGACCATTAACAGAAGTCACCAACTTCAGACCCAGGCTGCACACCTCATGGGGCCTCAGACTAGTGATAGGGCCATACACACCCTTTGTGGAACAACTCGAGGGTGGGAGGCAGGTTTACTCCCTTACTTCACCCCATTTGTGGATTCCAGCTCTGTTTACATTGTCTTCAACTTGTCCCCTTCTACTGGGGCAAGTAGTTAGAATGGGGCTTTTAGCAGGGGGCTTTCATAAACCTGCTTATGGTGGGCTCTTGCACCCTATCTTCATGCCACATGGTCGAGGCTATCGTGAAAGGCCCCCTGCCCAT